GACCCCCCATAATCAGACCTAAATAATATAACCCCCCCCAATAAAATTATGAATTATCTTGCATAAATAGGCTGTTGATTTTCTTTACTCATTTCAGTTATTACCAGCAAAATAGTTGCATGTTTAATCATCTGGGAATTGACCCAGATTTATTTATTTATTTAGACAGAGATCTTGACCCCACCCCCACCCCCCCATGTTCAGCACAAAGTTATGCTAATGTCCAGCTCCAAACAAATCATATTAGGGTTCCTAAAAATTTTGAATAAGATACATGAGAAAAGTTGCTTAAATATTTATATAACATATATCAGTAGCAGAACTTTACTGGTCACCAAAATAAGACTTATTTAATCGTATTTTATTAAATCTTTAAAGCATTTTTTTTTTTAAGTGCTGGATCTTATTACTGACATGCTTTTTTAAGAGACTCACAGTAAAAATCCGTGTCAGTTTGCTTCAGCGATGTGAAAACGGTGAGCTTATTTTAAAAAACGGTGAGCTTATTTTAAAAAACGGTCCAGCTTTTATTTGACGTGCTCACTACGCAAGAAGGGGAGGTCGACGGAAGGATTTCCTGTGTTGGTGGCGGATGGGTACCTTTGCTGGCGCTGTGACGCGTCGCGTTCGATACGAAGAGATTTCCCATTAGCGGCGGAGTGATCTGAACTAGTAGCTTCCCATACAATTCAGTGAGGAGTCAATGTGAATCTGCAGCGAGGGGGAAAACATGGCGACTTCGCAGCATGAGGGGCACGCAAACCAACTCGATCTACTCATCAGAGCCGGTAACGTAATTTTTCGCAATCACGTCTTCGATCTGAGCTGCCGCGCGGTTGTTGTTTTTAAGTGCGTCCGCTGCGCCGCCGTCCGCTGAGAAGAAGTGCGGTGAAGTAATGGAGGGCAATCAGGAAGTGATCACCTTGGTTAGCAACCTGCATGGCGTCGCCACACGGTTTAATCGGAGCCGGTTTATAATGAGGGAAACTTCAGTTGGATGCGGTGGTGTGTACATGTGGAGTGTTACGTGCATGAGTGGTGTTTTGCACGCGGGAGGAGTTTTTTCTGCCCTCAGCGTGGTGTAGAATAACGGTCTGCAGCTCGGCTGCACAACCAGGAAGTGTGGAGATGTTGTCTTTCCTACGTCTTTGCCACGCTGTCTGAGTCGGAAGGACATGTGGGTTTATTTTTACCAG